GCACACTTGGTTAACTTCATCTTTTGCTCAAAGGAAGGAAAGACATAATTAATTACCTGGTGGTAACAGGGAACCCTCATGGCCATAAAGGGGATTTGACCAAGCAGCTCCCTGAACTGGAAGGAGCTCCAATTCACCACCTTGATTTGGGGGCTCTGTTCTGGGCTGGTAGGTAGGATGGGGGATGAGGTGACAGGGGTCTTAGATAAAAAGACCCGTTTCGGGATCCCTGGGTGGCGCAGCGGTTTGGCACCTGCCTTTGGCTCGGGGCGCGATCCTGGAGACCCGGGATCGAATCCCACATCGGGCTCCCGGTGCATGGAGCCTGCTTCTCCCTCTGCCTGTGTCTCTGCCTCTCTCTCTCTCTCTCTGTGACTATCATAAGTAAATAAAAAAAAAATTAAAAAAAAAGACCCGTTTCTATTCTCACCACCACAGAGAAGTAGGGAAGGGACTATTGCTTGGAAGAGAGGTGATCCAGGGAAGAGAAGACTGTTTCCTGACATCTTCCTAGGGCTCCAGACCCTGCCTGCCTCTACAGCAACAAAATGATACAGTTTTTCATAAGCCTGACTCTAACAGGACGTGATGGGAGAAGGTTCTGTATATGTGATGTTGAGAAAAGCTGAGACAGCCACTCCCCATTGAAATGAAGCCAAAAGTGTTAAATCACACACAAGCAAATTAAAGCCACTGGACCCGCATTCCTGCCTAACAGCTGGGGCCCAACAGTTCTGGCTGCCTCATGGAGGTGAACATTCTGTTCTGCCTATGTTGTTTGCTTTTTTGTTTTTACCCTACCTTCCATCTGCCTCCAGCTTTACTGCTCAGTAGCTGAGTGTGCAAAGGGTTTGTCCTGTCTCTGAAAAGTAAGAGTAATGATCCCATAGCAGTACTAGGGGGATAACCTGAGACAATTCCAAGAGGTAAGTACTATTACCACTTACATCCCCATTTCCATTTAACAGGAGATGAAAGTAAGGCACAGAGAAGTTCCAAAGCTTGACCAAGGGCACAGCTAGCAAGGGGCAAAGCTAGGATTCAAACTCAGGCAATGGGCTCCAGAGTCCACACTCTTAACCACCCCACTAGCTGCTTCTGGGTGTTGAATGGGCAAGCATTTTATAACTTGTGGGAAAACTCAGTGCACCCCTGATGAATAGTTTTAATTCTAGGAAGGGATAAACTAAGCACCCTCGCTCTATCCCAGTTCAGAGCTGGAAAAGGAAGAGCAGCCCTGGTGCCCTCCATCCCAGGCAGAGGAGAACTCTACCCTGGAGTTCCAGGACCTCCGTTATGGATAACTAGGGAGGCTGATAGTTGATGGCTTTCAGCCCTGCTGCCCCTTCCTCCTCCAGGAGGGGTCTAGTGCCACGATTAAGAGCAGATTCTGGGGATACCTGGGTGGCTCAGTCAATTGAGCTTCAGACTCTTTATTTCAGCTCAGATCATCTCAGGGTTGTGATATCAAGCCCCACATCAGACATGTGCTGAATGTGGAGCACGCTTAAGATTCTCTCTCTTCCTGGATGCCTGGGGAGCTCAGTGGTTGAGCCTCTGCCTTCAGCTCAGGGGGTAATCCTGGAGACCCGGGATCGAGTCCCACATTGAGCTCCCTGCATGGAGCCTGCTTCTCCCTCTGCCTCTCTCTCTCTCTCATGAATAAATAAATATAATCTTAAAAAAAAAAAGATTCTCCCTCTCTTCTCTTCTGCCCCTCCCCACACTTGCGTGCATTCTCTCTCTCTCTTTTTAAAGATTTTATTTATTTATTCATGAGAGACACACAGAGAGAGGCAGAGACACAGACAGAGGGAGAAGCAGGCTCCATGCAGGAGCCCAATGAGGGACTCGATCCTGGGACTCCGGGATGGCACCCTGAGCCACCCAGGCATCACCACCCCCCTCAAATAATCTTTAAAAACAAACAAGCAAACATTTATTAAGTGCTTTCTGTATGCCAGGAAATACATTCAGCTTTCCTGATTCTTTCCACATATTTGCTTCAATATGTTGATTCCTGATTGCCTCTCCTGCTAAATTTGCCTCCCAAATACTCCCCTTAGGCTGCGGTTTCAAAATATCTGCAAATTTTTTGACCCTGTTTCCTTCAAGAAGTAGATCTTAATTCCTCTTCAGAGGCAGCTGGGTTACAAAGTGCACTGTGGCTTCCTTCTCATCCTCTCTGTCTCTCTCTCTTTTCTCTGTCTCACATCACTTGCTCTGCAGAAACCCACTGTTATGTCATGAGCACATCTATGGAAACATCCAACGTGATAAGGAACTGAGGCCTCTAACTAACATGTGAGCGAGCAGGGGAGCAGTTCCCCCAGACTCAGTTGCCATCTTGGCAGTGACCTCAGGAAAGGCCCTGAGCTAGAACCACCCTTACAAGCTGTTCTTGGGTCTGTAGCCCTCAGAAACTGTGTAAGATGTGAATTTGTTTCAACCTGCTGAGTTTGGGGGATAACTTTTTATGCAGCAATAGATAATCAATGTACCTTCCCCACTGTAGAAACCCCCACTCTCCCCAAAATCAACTCAAACCTTTACTGGGCAGCGTAATCATTAGAGTTTCCTTCTCTCTTATACTCAGGTGAGGTAGTAAAGTGAGTCAGAGCACCTGCATTCAAACACCTGTGGTTGCTGCTTTTTAGCTGTGATGATAGGGCAAGTTACTTAACCTCTCTGTGCCTCAGTTTCCATATGATGAAAAGGGAGATTATGAAAACTGAATCAGGGAATAGATCTTTGAGAGCATCTGGCCCAATGCTGGGCACTTGGTAGGTGCCTGGTAAGTCTGAGCTCCCTCTGGCCCCCTTCAAAAGTTTAGTTTTGCATGCTCCCAAGTCCTTGCCCAGAGAGGCTAGGACTAGGACCAGCGCTTTAGGAGCTCCCCATGCTCATTCTTCCTACTACTGGAGACAGAGGAGGAGACCTGTCCTGAGCCTGGGGGGTTCTCTCAATCTTGGGGTGAGAAGAGACTTGTCCACTGAAGCAGGGTGCACTGCTGGAAAGGTCTTTTGCAAGACAGGGACTGGTGCTGCATTGGCTGGGCTTGGGCTCCAGCCTAGCCACCCCTCCACCTCCTCTGAGAGTGCAAGGACTATAAGCTGCCGCTGACAGTGGCATATAGGAAAACTGCTCTTGCCAAGGTTTTGCCCATTTTCCTTTCTCCCTCATCTCCCTTTAAAATTTTTGTAAAATGTATTTTAATCTCAGATAATACATGGAAAATATTAGCCGACATTCCTGAGAATTTACCAGCCAAGTTCCTAAGACTGCTATGTGTCTCACAGCCAGTTTAAGAGACAGGTGCCTACGTTAGCCCCATTTCACAGCTCAGAAAATCAAGGCACAGGAGTTAAGTAAATTGCCCAAGGTCACACAGAGGCAAAGAAGCTCATGCTGCACGGTCAGTCCCTCCTTTACACAGGCTGTTCCGAGGCTCCGCGTTAAATTCTGTATTCGGTAGTTCTTGAAGAGGCTCAAAAAACTGGATGCTGCTTCAGAGGTAACAGATGCAGTATGCTCTTTTCTTAAAGATATTTTAAAATACATTTACATCTACAAACACGCACATATGGAAATAGATTTCTCCCCACCCGTCCGCCTTAAAAAAAAAAAAAAAGAAAGAAAAATACTTGTGGCCCCACCCAGCTCTTTTATTTATTTTTATTTTTATTTTTTTCCACCCAGCTCTTTTAACAGAAAGCCTCGACCGTCTTTACACGTTTCTCACCGTCGCGGGGTCGCGGCGCAGTGATTTGCCCACCTGCCCGGAGCTGAGCCCTCTGCTCCGCTCCCATCTGCTCTCCGCGGGGCGCATCCTCCCGCCGCTCGGCTCCCAGGCCGCGTCCGCTCTCCCGCACCGCCCTCCCCGCCTCCCCCCTCCCCGCCCCCGCGCGAACCTTCTCGCCTCTCCCTGCTCCCCCCGCACCCCCGCGGCCCAGCGGGAGCGCACAGCCGGCGGGCTAGCACGCGCGTTGACAGGGTAATGAATGGCTTCGGCGGTAATTAGCGACCCTGCGGCTAATCACGATGTACATTTACATTTTAAGTGCTGCAGAGGGAGCGGGGAAGAGGGGGGGGGACGCGGGCCCTTCCCGCGCTCTCCCTCCCCTGGGGAGCGGAGTAAATCCAGCGCCCCACAGCTGGCGGGGGGGGGCCGCCTTGGAGGGCCCACCCGCCCAGCCGCAGCCCTGCCCTAGACCCTCCTAGTGAAGGTCCGGCGCAGGCTTGCATGCCCCTGCGGATGGCGAGCTCGCTCCTCCCCGACTCCCCCAGTTCCAGGGCTGGCTCCCAGGCCTAGCCGAAACAGCTGCCCTCTAAGTGCCACAACTACCCCGCGCTAACGGAATGTGAGGTTCCCCGCTCCCCGCCACGCGCTGCAGGCCGTCTGCGTGTTGTCTCGAGGCTGGGGTGCCTCGGCCTCCGTGGCTGCCCCTCGCTGGGCCCGCGGGAGCTGATGCACAGCCCCAGTCGCGGCTCCAAGCGGAGCACGACCCCGAGGGCCCCGAGCCCAGCCGCCGAGTCTACCCTGCAGCCGTTCCCCGAGGGCGGTAGCGGGGTCAGCCCGGGGTCTGAACAGCAGGGGCCGGGACCCAGGACAAACCCGATGCCGAGGAGGCGACAGGAGCGGTGGGAAGGGAGAGGGGCACCCCGGCAGGCAGCCCCGGGCTCAGGGCCAGGCCCCGCCACCCCCAGGCCCTGCCAGGCCGCCAGCATTTTCAGGCTTCCCGGCCGCGCCTCCGGGGCTCGCCGCGCGCTGGTCGCCCCCACCCGGGCCGGGGCCGCCCCACTCCCCTCGCCCGACGGCGCGGGCCAGGGCAGCGCTGCGGGGGGCCCAGTGCCTGCGAACTCCGCGCCCATCCTGTCCTCCCACCCCAGCCCCCGCTCTGTCCCGCCTCTCCCGGCCGGCGGGGTTCCCGGAGAGGGGCACGCGGTGGCTCCACACCGCCTCCGCGGCCTCCACTTCCCACCTGCCACCCTTCTCCCTCTCAAAACCTGCCTTCCTCGGGCCTCCTTTTTGGAAATGGACCCCACTGGGCGTCAGGGGGCCGCGGCTGACCGTCAACGAGTTCCTCCTGGGAAGAAGGGGGGTCCACGTCACCAGGGAGCAGCGCCTGGCTTACCCTAACAGTGGACGCTCCACGCGCGGAGGCGGCCCGGCGCCCTTGGGAGGGGCTCTCCCGGGCTCGTCCCACGCGCCGCAGGAGCAGCCTGGCCCACAGCCTCATCCCCGGCCCGGGGCCGGCCGGGGTCCGCGAGCTCCGGCTCCACCCGTCCCCGGCCGCCGCGACGTGGCGCTCCGAGGGCAGCGCGGGGGGCAGCGCGGGGCGCAGCGCGGGGCGCAGCGCGGGGCGCAGCTGCAGCCGGGCCCCCGCACTCTGCGGCTTGCGCCCCCGCCGTCCTTGAGGCGGGAGGAGCGGCTCGGGCGCTGGGGGGACGGGGCGCAGGCGTTCCCCCGGGGGGCGGGGGGCAAAACCTCCCTGCGAGGGCACCGGGGGCGCAAGGGCTGGGGCGCCCGGCTCGAGGCGGCTTTGGCGTCGCACACACAGTTTTTATGCAGGTCGCCCGTTGACGAGGGCTGGCTCAGGGAGGGCAGATGGCGACTCCGCGGGAACTGCGCCCGGCAGCTCCGCCCCCGCGCCGCCGCCGCACCTCCCCGCGCACCGCTCGGGTGGCGGGACTCGGGACTGGATCCCGGAGGCGGCCGGGGCTCGGGCGGGGGCGGGGCCTGGCGGGGGCGGGGCCTGGCGGGGGCGGGGCTCCGGGCTCCCGGGCGGGGCGGCCGCTGAAGGCGCGGAGCCCTGGGCGCGGAGAGCGCGGCGGAGAGCGGCGCCCGCCGGAGACGGTCGGGGGCGAGGATCGCGCCGTCCCAGCCTGCCCGCCGGCGTCCGCGGCGCTCCCGCACCCCGAGCCCTGCGGGCCCTGGCCAGGGGCGGCGGCGGCCATGCAGCCCCAGGGCTGAGGCGGCCCCATGGCCAAGTCCGCGCCCCCGCGGTCCGGGCAACGACGGCGCATGGAGAACTTCCGTAAGGTGCGCTCGGAGGAGGCGCCGGGGGGCGAGGGGGCCGAGGGGGGCGGCCCGGGCTCCGGGCCCTTCGCCGACCTGGCGCCGGGCGCTGTGCACATGCGGGTCAAGGAGGGCAGCAAGATCCGGAACCTGCTGGCTTTCGCCACGGCCAGCATGGCGCAGCCCGCCACGCGCGCCATCGTCTTCAGCGGCTGCGGTCGAGCCTCCACCAAGACCGTCACGTGCGCGGAGATCCTCAAGCGCCGCCTGGCGGGCCTGCACCAGGTCACGCGGCTGCGCTACCGGAGCGTGCGCGAGGTGTGGCAGAGCCTCCCGCCGGGGCCCGCGCCGGGGCACAGGCCTGGCGAGCCGGCCGCCAGCCTCAGTGTCCTCAAGAACGTGCCCGGCCTCGCCATCCTGCTGTGCAAGGACGCCCTGGATCCGCGCCAGCCGGGCTACCAGCCCCCGGACGCCCACCCGGGACCCTCGTCGCAGCCCGCCGCGCCGACGTCCAAGCGGAGCCCGGGGGGAGCCGCGGCTGCCGAAGGCTCCGCCAAGCGCCTGCGACCTGAGCCCGGGGCCGCGGAGGAGCGTCCGACGGCTTGAGAGCTCGCGGGGCCGGGCCCCCACCCCCGGAGCCCCGACCTTGAGCCGCATCTCCAGCCTTTCATGCCCCGGTGCTCGGGACGTAGCTCCTCGCGCCGCGCCGTCAGCACGGGGCCCCGGGCCCGGGGCCACGGGGCGGGGACCCCAGGGAAGCGTCGTGGGCGCTTGGCTGCTCCGCCACTTGGGCTGCCTGGAGACGCAGAAGTCCACCAAGCCATGCCGGGACCTTCTTCGGGGAGGGGAAGATGGGCAGGGGGACTCTTGAGCCTTGCCCAGGATCCCCGAGGATTGGAGGCATCCAGTGCTCCCGAGGACAGTGTGTGGCCCCAGGAGAGCTCTTGGCACCCTCTCCACCGTTGGCGGCTGAGGCAAGGGGCGAGGAAGGACAGCAGACGGCTGGAAGGCAGGACAGTCTGGGGGGGGGTGTCTATGTCACCCGGGAAGACCTCTTCCTTTCTAGTTTCCTTACCCTGCTGTTAAGGAGCATCCTGCTATCTTGGTGCAGGGGCGTCTCCATGGGCTCTAGCTCTCTTAACAGTCCCCCTTCCCCTGCTGGCCCAGAAGGACAGACCCCAGACAGAACTCTCTGCCTTCCCCCACTGAGCTGGAGTCCTGCTTCCAATAAAACAAACACAAAAATGGCTCTGGCCCCAGGTTTCTTTCTTAGCGCTTAACCTATGTGGAAACTGCTTTGGCCTGCGGCCTTGGGTCTCCGTCCCCTCCAGCCTGCAGTCTTGTTCCAAGATGGAACAAGGGGCACGTTGCCCAGTCCCTGGCCTCTTCTTCCTCTCCCAGCTTTCCGTCTGGCTCTAGGCTCAGGGGCTGGTGGCTGGAAGGGGGCCTTTGTCCCCCCGGGTGCACCACCACTGAGGGAAAAAGAGGAGCTCATTGCTTTCCTGGGAAGGCAGGCAGGCTGGTAGGCCCCAGTGAACTCTCCTGGGGGTCACTGCCAAGGGAGGCACACCCCTCGGGGCTCCCTAAACCTGCCACCTCCTGCCAATTGACAGCCATATCCAGAAAGCTGGCACCAAACCCCTCCTCGCCATCCGTAGGATCTCCCCTTCACTGCTCTCTCAGAAAGGACAGCACACCCTTGGGAGAGGGGGAGGAGACAGACTGAGCACAAATCCACTGCTGGAAATTACTATTCAGCAGAGAAGCTGGAACTTGGGCTGTGAATCACTGCAGGCTCCCTGATAAGCTGCTGCCTCCAGCCCTGCACAGCTGTCTGTTGAGAGATAACAGCCTCATAAGCCTCTGGGTCCAGCTCAAGTCAACTGGGGCTGGCGGTGGGGGGAGGAGTGCTATGTGCCGGAAGGACTCTGGCCAGTGAAGGCGGAGGGGGTGCTGGGGGAGCACGTAGCCCCAGGATCTCAAGCAGACCCTACCACTTGCAACTCAACAGCAAGTCTGGAAAGAAGATGGGGAAGAATGTTGCTGGCAAGACCCTGAAATCAATCACTCCAGTGACAAGAGGTGAGTCTGCTGACAGCTGACAGGAGAGGCTCTTTAGGGAGTTCCTCCCCCACCCCTACCTCCCCTTGAGCTTTGGATCAGTGAGCCCTGTCCCCCAGACTCAGGCACTGTCTGCCCTCCCCGATTTCTTGATGAGTCCCTGCAAAAGGCCAAGGGGTTTATGTGTGCTTGTCCGACCCTCACGGGTGGGTGGTCCGAGAAGGTTGGAAAAAATCCACTAGCCTGACAGCTAAGCTGCCCTGGGCTGGTCCTGGGCTTGTGCATTGAAAGTAAATGATGAAACTTGGAAGAGGTCCTGCATGGTAGACTCTTAAAGAAGACTGGTCTTGGTTCTGGAAAAGGGCCAACTTTCCAAAACCAAGATCTGAAGTCCTGATTGCCAGGTCAGCAGGACCACGCAAGCAGAGGCTTTCTTTTCTTGATGGTAGGGAGCAGATTAAGTCCCTTTCCTGCCTAGAGATTGTTTCCTCACCTTCAGAGCATTAACCTGCCCTGATGGTTGACTGAGTCTCTGCCGCCCATACCAGAAAGCAGGTTATGAAACCCTTTTCAGCACCCCCACTCCACCCCCACACGTTCAGTTCCCAGGCTTTTGATAGGTACTCACAAGGACAGTAGAATCCAGCACACCTGAGCATCCTACCCCTGCCTTACCCATCCTCTGGCCCTGCCGACCCAGGAGCAGGCTCCGAAGGAAGGGGACTGATACCCCTTTGCACCCCCACCCCCAAGACCGAGGGGGGAACCTGAGAAGTTCTGGGATAAGGAGGGTGGCTACAGGAGCACCTCAGGGATAGCTCACTGACTACTGGCAGAAGTTCAGGGAACGGAAGCAGCTCTGTGAGACCCCATCTTTCCACTAGTGACCTCTGTCTGGGAGCTTTCTGGGCCGGGTCTCGGGGCACTTGCAGACTAGGGGTGGTAGTGAAGGCTCACATCCACAAAACTGTCAGGTCACAGTCAAAGTCCATTTGGGAACATAAATGTATCTATCAGCCAAGGCCAGAGCTTGTGGTCAGGTGGGCAGTGGAGCCCTAGCTGGGCATTAAGAGATGTCGTATTGTGGTGCCGGCTCCTAGGCACACGGTGTGGTGGGGCAGGGCAGGGAGACATGTAGGGGGAAGATCACAGTATAATCCGACATTGTTCCCGCCTCAAGGATGTCCCAGTTAGGGGCACCTGGGTGGCTCAGGCCCAAAGCGTCTGCCTTTGGCTCAAGTCATGATCCCAGGGTCCTGGAATGGAGCTCCCGCATCAGGCTCTGTGCTCAGCGGGGAGTCTGCTTCTCTCCCTCTGTGCTTGCCACCCCCCTAAAGTAAATAAATAAATCTTTAAAAAAAAAAAGGGACACCTGGATGGCTCAATGGTTGGAGGCTGCCTTCAGTTCAGGTCGTGATCCCGGGATCCAGGATTGGGTCCCACATCAGGCTCCCATGAGGAGCCTGCTTCTCCCTCTGCCTGTGTCTCTGCCTCTCTCTCTGGGTGTCTCATGAATAAATAAATAAGTCTCAAAAAAAAAAAAGGAAAAATTATGTCTCAGTGGAAAGAAAGTTGCAACACAATGCAATGATAGTGGGAGAAGGTGAGAGCTCTGAAAAGGGGCACTTAATGCATCCAGAGATGCTGATGGAAGTGGTTGTCCAAGGATCAGGAGGAGTTAGCCACCAGAACGGGACCGGACAGGCAATTCCAGGCAGAGTACAGAGAAGTGATGCTGTGTCTGGTGTAGAGGCAGCCACAAGTAGCTGAAGGGTACCTGGCAAGAGGCAAGTGGGGCTGGAGTACCAGATGGGAGCCAGGTCACTGGGAGCCGCCCTGAAGGAAATGGGAGGCCTGTGGGAGCCAGGGAGTGCCCAGCCTGATTGGCATTTGAGAAGGATCCCTCTGACACCTGTGTAGGTGGGAGGTGGATTGGAAGGAGCCTGACCGTCCTGGTCACAGGGAGGTAAGAGATGGTGCTACAGGATTCGTTTTACTTTGGTGCCTTTGCTTCTTGGTCATGCCACTTCAAAGAATCAAGAGGTGGCCAGGCAGAGTGGTGGGCAGTCAAGCAGGGTTTATTGAATGGTAATACAAAGCTCCCCAAGAGGGAGGGGACTGGAGAGGGTTGCCACAGGAGTTCCTAAGTCTAGGGCTTGTTGGCGGGCTGTTTTCACCTGATGAACCCTCCCTGAGCCTGTCATCCAATCAGGTTTTTGTCACCTAGCTATCTCTTGGGAAAGGGTGGAGGAAGCCTTCCAGAGTAGTGTCAGATCCTTTTAAGGGTGTCCCCACTTGCCTGCCTTCCAAGTATCCTTCATCAGTGGGACCTTGGGACCATGGTAGTAGGGAGGGAGACGGAGCCAGATTTGAGAGCTTCCCCAGGCTAGGCAGGATTTCACAGCCATTACAGCCAGGTCAGAGTGGGGCTTCTCTAGGCATTGACCCTACCCTGGCCAGGGCTTGGCCTGCTATCTTGGCATCCTAGGGAACATGCTATATAAGGGCTAAACAATAAAGGGATTTTTGGAGGGGAGGAGGTCCACAGCTTCAAATTGGTAAAAGCTTTAAGAGCTCTTACCCACTGGCCATGAATCTCCCAGGGCGTGTTCACTGCACAGTAGGGGGAAAACTCGGGTGGGACACTCTCCCACCCTTACCCTTTAACACGAAGCCTCCCACCCCTCCATCTCCCAGCCTCTACCCCATTAATCCTGCAGTTTGGGTTGTTAATACCACTACGCCCACACTACTAGGAATGCTCTAATTCCCTCTATTTCACTGAGATTTTGCAATACCTTCAGGTGTCCCAAGAGAAGGTTAATTGATAAAAGGGAGGGAAGGAGGAAGAATGGAAGGGAAAGGAAGGAAGGGGGCGAGGGAGTAAATACAGCAACAGGAAGGT